GCATACCGCATGACAGTGTTGTACACACTCAGTATATAAGAATAATAACAACCGTACATTATACCAATGATGCGATGCTCATGTTCGGCATTCTGGTGAAATAATGTGCATCAAACTATTACGAAGTAATTATGCGTCAATGACCAGTACTCTCGTCAATCCACTGCTGGATGAGGGTCTCTCCACGCCATGCAGATCGTAAGGGTTGTTTGACCATACTTCACCACGCTGGGCAGCACCGGTTGGTGAAGGCGGACAGCATAGACGCGGGGCCATAGGAAGTGCAGTACAACAGTGGATTTTTTTTTTGCACTGCCCTCTGCTAACAAAGTAACAACGCAACAGTCTATAAAATATGTTCCCATGAGCGGTGGCCGCCCATCCAAGCACTGAACAGGCTTAAAACCTGCTTAGCATCCAAGATATGAAAAGAAAAGGCACATTCCGGGTGATTGCCATAGCCTAACACGGTAATTACAGCCTGTGATTTAACAAAGTGATATGCTTACTACGCGGCTTATTATGACTATACTCAAGAGGGATGTCGTCTGGAGTGTCAGGAATGCGCGTACTGTGTTGTGGTTGTCATGTTCAACGTAACCCCGTCATAGCAATGTGGAATTTCCACCACCGGTGTATGCAGGCAGGGCTGGAAACTTCCCTGCGCTCGCTTGAGTCGGAAACTTGGCCTTTCTTTCTCCCCTTTCAGAGTCCAGATCTTGAAGTGTATAAACAATAATTAACGACTCAATCGGATGCGGAACACACAACTCTGCCAATGACCTAACAACAACAAAACCTCCACAAATAACCTGAAACACACAAAGACCGCAACGACACAGCACCCCCACCCCATAATACGGTAACGACGACGGGCAGTATATAAGGGGGCCGTCCATAAATGACGTCACGCACCTAGGGGGGGGGGGGGATCAGACATTTGTGACGAGGGGGGGGGGGGTGAGAAAGGTGACGTCACATCAAAATGCGCAACTTTAAATAAATATAGACAACACGTTATATTTAATTAAATAGACTTTTTGATAAATGTTTTCTCCTACAACATCAGAGTGCAGCGCCACATTAAATACGCACAACAATGACAATAGTTTAAAGCGATTTGAAGCATGTTTTATTTTGGGGGGCAGAGCTTTGTGACGTCATAATTCAGGGGGGGGGTCTGACTTTTTGTGACGCCGTGTGACGAGGGGGGGGGGGTCAAAAATCGTCAAAAATCGCGTGACGTCATTTATGGACGGCCCCTAAGTGCAAACATTATCCTTATCCCATACCTGTCAACCCCTTATCAGTGCCCGACCTTATTATAGACCAATTCAGACCTTATTGGTCACCACGTGCCTCAACGTTCATCTTACAAAGTCCCATCACAAGGAAGAAACACAAACAAATATTTTTTTTGTTTTTTGGGGGGCCGTCCATAAATGACGTCACGCGATTTTGGACGATTTTTGACCCCCCTCCCCTCGTCACACGGCGTCACAAAAAGTCAGACCCCCCCTCAAATATGACGTCACAAAGCTCTGCCCCCCCCCCAACCATATTTCCATTTTGAAAATAAAACATGCTTCAAATCGCTTTAAACAATTGTCATTGTAGTGCGTATTTAATGTGGCGCTGCACTCTGATGTTGTAGGAGTGTTGTTATAACAATTCTATATTTATTTAAAGTTGCGCATTTTGATGTGACGTCACATTTCTCAACCCCCCCCCCCCCTCGTCACACATCGTCACAAATTTCTGACCCCCCTCTCTAGGTGCGTGACGTCATTTATGGACGGCCCTTGCCCCTATTGAAACGGCTGTACGCCGTATGGACCTGAAGACTCAATTTGGCTGTACCAAGAGTATGGGGTATAAACCGTGCGGGTTGACGCGGTGTGCGAGAAACAAAAATAAGGTTCGAGCGAATGTGGTGGGATCGGTGCGTGCGGTGCATGCGGCAGACGGTTGTGGTGGAGGGGGTGGAGGGGGTGGTGGGTGGAGGGGGTGGTGGTGGAGGGGGTGGAGGTGGGGGTGGAGGGGGTGGTGGGTGGAGGGTTGGGGTGGAGGGTGGGGGTGGTGGGCGGGGGTGGGTGGGTGGAGGAGGTGGTGGAGGGGGTGGGTGGAGGAGGGGAGGGGCGGGGGTGGGTGGAGGGGAGTGGAGTGGAGGAGGTGGTGGTGGGGGTGGGTGGAGGAGGGGAGGGGTGGGTGGAGGGGAGTGGAGGGTGGAGGGGAGTGGAGGAGGGAGGGGTGGAGGGAGGGGCGGAGGGGAGGGGCGGGGGTGAGTGGAGGAGGAGAGGGGCGGGGTGGGTGGAGGGATGAGGGGCGGGGGTGGGTGAAGGGGAGGAGGGGAGGGGCGTGGGTGGGTGGAGGGGGCGGGGAGGGGCGGGTGGGTGGAGGGGAGGGGTGGGTGAAGGGGAAGAGGGGAGGGGCGGGGTGGGTGGAGGGGAGGAGGGGCGGGGTGGGTGGAGGGGAGGAGGGGCGGGGTGGGTGGAGGGGAGGAGGGGCGGGGTGGGTGGAGGGGAGGAGGGGCGGGGGGGGCGGGGTGGTTGGAGGGTGAGGGGCGGGGCGGGGTGGGTGAGGGGCGGGGCGGGGTGGGTGGAGGGGGTGGGGGTCAGTGCCGCAGCATCGCGCGCGCCGGCGGCGGCGGTGGGGGTCGTGGGGGACGAGGCGAGGAGCGGCGAGAGGCCCCCGGGGGCTGGCTGGGTGGCTGGGTGGGTGGGTGAAGAGAAGGAGGAGGGGGGTGGGAAAGCGAAGACGGACCAACTGCGACGGGTCACGAGCCTGGAAGATTAAATTGTAAAGATACTAAACAACAACAAGGGGGGGGAGGAGGAGGGTAAAATAGAGGGGGAAGGCGAGAGAGGGCAAGGCGAAGAGGAGGAGGAGGAATGCCCATGGACTACACGTAGCGGGGAGCCGCGCTCGGCGCAAACCCCTCGCGCCCTCAGGTAAGAGAAAGAGGCAGAATAAGAAGAAGAATAAAACAACATTTACTCACTTAACCACCGCGCGGACATCGAGGGCAATCTTAACAATTATAAGAGGGCGCCGCTTGGAACAAAGTTGTGCGAATTTATAAATGATGAGGAGAGAGCGACAGACAGAGAGACAGAGAGACGGGGAGAGATACCGGGGCTGATGCCGAGCATGAAGGATGAGGAGAGAGATGAGGAGAGAGACGGCGAGGACTGCGCGCTCTGATGTCGAACTTTGCGTCGTCTCCTTCGGACGGCGACTTAACGCGAACGTTTAAGTGAAGAGGCATTGGAGCCTAGATGATGATGTGGCGGTGGTGGCGGTGGTGGTGGGGTGGTTTCCTCGCTCCGCCGTGGCGATTTGACGTAGCGACGTTGTTTGCTCGGCTTTCAACGCGACGTTTATTGCGAGCGAGCGCAGTTGAGGCCTTCACCCCCCCCCCCCCGCGAGCCCCCCGTGCTCGACTAGCGGAGCTGCGGCACGAGGAGCTCTCTGACCCGGCCAGAGCAACCAGCCGAGGGCGGGGTGGCTCGGGAAGGCGATGTTGAGTGTTTAAGGCGGTGGTAACGAATGATAATGAAATTATATTAATGGTAATTATTACGACGATGATGATGATGGTGATAATCGCTGTCGTGACAAAGTTAAGGCGCTAAATACAATACGTGAAATAATTTAAATGAAACGTTACATTGTGGAACTCTTTTAACCCCGATGTTTGGTATAAAATTTTTTTATAAAGTTTTTTATTGTATTGAAAATGTATTTACGTTTTAATGTCGTCGCTTGTTCGTATTGCCATTTAATTTGAATTCTATTCGCGTGAAATGGCACGCTTGCTTCGTCGCATTTTCCCTTTAAATTACTATTCTACGCGCGTGTGACGCGCTGTGCGAACGGGTGGTGGTCAAAAAGTTGTGAGAACGATAAAAAAAATCGACAAATAAATTGGAGCTCCAATTAATTAACGTATCGACTCGGAGCACAATCGCGAACAATATTAGTGCATTATAAGAGGGTGGGGCATTTTAACTTAATATAATAGTTGTGAAACCGTGTTTTGAAAATAAATATCCCCTAAAAACCTGTTGACCGCGCCACAGAGTATACCGTCGTGGAATTATATACATACTGGAGTGGATATGGTGTTTACTTAATTATATTTGTTTGCTGATTGTTTTTAATTTAAAGCATAGCCTTTTCCCGAAACCTTTGCCGTTCACAAGTTCTGCAGCTAATTGCAACAGTGGCTAGCATTGTAACGATTGTAATCATATGCTTTATGTTGTGCCTAAATGCGAATAGAGTTTACACGTTACATTTGACAACACCGTTCATAGCGTCTCCGTGGAGGACATCGGAGGACAGTGCAACAAAATCCAATGTTGCACTGAACTTCTATGCGTCTTAAGCCCCCACGACCGTACCGCATGGGGAGGACCTCATCCAGCAGTAAATTGATGGGTTAACTTCATCACTCCAGCCACTGGAGGCTGCTACATTCACAACAATGTCAACAAAAAATATTCTCGCTGCATGATCCTGCATTTAATCGTGCGGTATCATAGAGGTGTAATATGTACACTGTTGATGCCGCCACGGAGTAATGGTTAGCACACACAGATTTTGCAATCCGGAGATCACTGGTTGAAAATTTAGGAAAAGTTTATTACATCTCCCTCTGCCTCTTGACACCCAGCAGTACGAATGGGGCTACGCCACGGTCGTTTGGCTTTTGGCAGGTCACGTATCTGGTGATAAAGTAAATGTACAAAGTCGCACATCTTTCGAGACATCTCCCCAGCATGGAAAACTTTTCCAAATACTCTTTAGAGGGTCTCTCTGTGGCTCCCTCTCGTGAAAGCCTTTCCACCGGTCGTGACATGAGCAAATAATTGCAGGGCTGCACCTTAATTGTACACTGTATAAAATACATTGCAATGTGGTTATTCACTGCAGATATTAGAGCATTTAGGTGCGTTGTGTTTTATCACACTGTGTGTGTGTGTGTGCGCGTGGAGACAACAATGGCCACGCTGGGCAGTGAGGTCCTGTACGACACGCGGGGCCATGGCGGCGTCTCTGTGAGGCTGACCCGCGCCAGGGTCAGCAGCTGCTGCTCGGGCGACTCGGCCTCGCGACCCGGAGGGCGCCTCCACCGACGCCACCGACGCCACCGCCTGCCCCAGCTGTTTGAGCGTGCCGCCGCCAGCTGGTGGAACCCCAAGTTCGACTCCCTGGAGCTGGAGGCGGCGTGCGAGCAACGCTGCTACCCGCAGACTCGCCGTCGCTTCCGCTATGCCCTGGCCTACGCGTCGGCCGCGTGCCTCCTTCGTGCCCTTACGTACGCGTTGGACTGGGACGCACGCAGGGCGGCGCGCCTCGCCCCCGCGCTCTCCTTCCTGCTGCTGTGCGCCGGGCTGATGGCGCTCACCTTCTTGCGTGCGTATGAGCGGCGGCGCGCCGTGCGCGAAGCGCTCGCCGTGCTCCTCTTCGTGGCTCTGGCTGGTGCCTCCCTGGCGATGGCGGCGGCGCTCGTGCCCACCCGTCCGTTCCTGCCGCCGGACCTGACGCCCGTGGGCAGTTTCGCGGTGTGCGTCGAGGTGCTGCTGCTGCTGTACACGGCCATGCCACTGCCGTTGTATGCGTGCGCGCTGCTCGGGCTCTCCTACTCGGTGCTGTTTGAGGTGGTCGGGCAGCTCTGGAGCACGGGGCTGCTGCTCCCCAACGTCAGTGAAGGTTGGCTAGTCACGGGCTCACACGGAGGTGCTGGCAGTCACGGTGGTGGGGAAGGCGTTCCTGCACTTGTGCATCCACGCCATAGGTATCCACATCTTCATTATGTCGCAGGTGCGCTCGCGCAGCACCTTCCTCAAGGTGGGCCAGTCCATCATCCACGGCAAGGAGCTGGAGGTAGAGAAGGCGCTCAAGGAGAAGATGATCCACGCCGTGATGCCTCGCATGATTGCTGATGAACTACTGCGGCAGCAGGGGGACGACGACTCCGAGGTGTCACCCCGGCGCTGTGTCGCCCCCGGCTGCCCGGTCGCCGCCGCTTCTGCAGCGGCAGCGGCAGCAGCAGCAAATTCCTCGGCGTCGGCGCCGACAACCGCTAGCAACCCCGGTCCTCGCAAGAAGAAGAAGGGCTCTATTCCGCGGGAGCAGCTGCCCTTCCGCCCGTTCACCATGAAGCGCATGAGCGAGGTGAGCGTGCTCTTCGCTGACATCGTCGGCTTCACCAAGATGAGCGCCAACAAGTCGGCGGCGACGCTCGTGCGCCTCCTCAACGATCTGTTCGGCCGGTTCGACAAGCTGTGCGAGGTGACGGGCTGCGAGAAGATCAGCACGCTCGGGGACTGCTACTACTGCGTGGCGGGCTGCCCCGAGCCGCGAACCGACCACGCCGCTTGCTGCGTTGAGATGGGCCTCGGCATGATTGCCGCCATCGAGCAGTTCTGCCGCGACAACCGCGAGACGGTGGACATGCGTGTGGGCGTGCACACGGGCACCGTGCTGTGCGGCATCCTGGGCATGAAGCGCTTCAAGTTCGACGTGCTCTCCAACGACGTGAACCTCGCCAACATGATGGAGCAGCTGGGCGTCGCGGGCAAGGTGCACGTGTCTGAGGCCACCGCGCTGTGCCTGGACGAGCGCTACACCATGGAGGACGGGCGGCTCTTCGAGCGCATCGGCCCCAATGCGGTGCTCGCAGAGCAACTGAAAGGTAAGGGCTGGCGCCATGGCCCCCGTCCTACTTTTGCTTTCATTCTCACGGTCGATCGCTTGCCTGTTTTTGTAGCTTTCAATCTCAACTGTTCATGCAAGTTTCGATTTAAAGCTTTCGTGACTGCAGGGATTCAGTTTCTTGGTTCTTTCGGTAAAGTCACGTAGAAGGGAAATAATAAAAATAAAACACAATAAAATAATTCTCACGACGTTTCGGCCACAACGCAAGCAGCCGTCCTCAGGTGAAAAACAGGTCTGTCGGAAAGACATTGTAGCCGAAACGTCGTGAGAATGATTTTATTGTGTTTTATTTTTATTATTTTATTATTTCCTTTCTATGTGATTTTACCGAAAGAACCAAGAAGATGTTCATGCAAGGTTTTTTTTTCATTGTGGTTGCTGAGCATAAGCCCAAATGCCCCAAAAAGGCACGCAGCCAGCAACAAATGGGTGTTACCGAATTGTAGTAGATAAGAGTGAATGTGGATTGACCAAAGTTGTAACATAAGAGGCTATGGGGAAGGTATTTCAAAGTCGAACAGTGCGAGGAAATAAGCGGACAGAGAGACGTGTTGTGACCTGCAGTGTGGTCTTTGAACACAGTATAGATGAGATGAAACGGTGGGTCTGGTCGACCCAAGTCCTCGACATGAGTGAAGGATTCGATGAGTGACGTTCATGGGAACGGCAACCGTGATCGTGCAAGAGAATAAGTTATTTGTTTGAATGCGATTTGATAGAATGGAAGGGTTTCATGGTTCGAATATAACATGTTCTTTCACGCTGCATGGATTTGCCTGATGTAATTTGGATATTAATAGCCCATGTGACGTCATTCTCAAGTGTAGGTTATTGTGTGCAGGTGTCATGGCCCAATATCCTAAACCGCAGGTAAGAAAATGGAAGCAATTGGTGATTGTTCTCTCGTAATGCACTTGACAGAGTGAGAAGTCTCTTTGCTGAGCTAGGATGGAGGCTAATCGTAGGCTTGGAATAGCCACAATGGTTCAAATACTAGAAGCCGGTATTGATTGATGTGGGAAAACCGTTGCTTAATATTCATACATACATATTCGAATGTATAAAATCTCATCATAAAACTGAAATTATTTATTGTTCGGCTACTGCTATGAAAGTTATGTACGCAGCACAAATATATAAAAACATGGAGTATTCAGGGCGAACAGAAAATACAAATGCATAGACATAAAGTAGGTTGAATGAGTCATAACAAACAGACACACAAAACTTGATTGAAAACAGTGGTAGCTGGGCGACTTCTTTACACGATGCCCGTGTAAGGATCTAAGCCATTGCCACTGAGGCACTGACTCAAATATGAGGTTTAAATGCTAGTTAAGGCAGTTGAAACTCTGTGTTTCTTTCATCTATTTCTGTAGCTTCCTTCCAAACTCTGTGCTTAGTTGAGTGCCATACAAATAAATTTACAATCTGGTAAAGTTTGCATGCTTCCAATTCTTTAAAACTATGTAACCAGTGTTTCAGAGTAAAACTATCAACTCAACACAGGCAGGTGCCCCTTCCTGAAGTTGCTGAGGCTAGTAAGGAACAAAAAAAGCTGTTGACCTTAGGTGAACGCTCGGATGCTTTGAGCCACTGTTCTCATCAAGAGCCCCGTGTTTGTACATCCAGTGACGCTGGTTCAAGTCCAATGTGCAGTGCTCGATTAACTGCTGTGAATGCCTGTAACAGTAAAGACAAGGAGAGATGTTCTCTTTGAAGCCCTTACTAAATGGTGAAATCCTGACAAAGGCTGTTGCCTTGAAAGAGAGGGCTGTGTCTGTGTCCATGGAATGAATCGGTACTGCTTAGGTTGCTGGGCTTAAATCTTGCACTCCCAAAGCAAGGAAATAATAATATTTTCCCGTCAGTCGTGTTACCAATGACTGTTTGCAACAAAACAACCCATCCTAAAATGTTGATTTTCTCACAAACTGACCATATCCCGTTGGCCGTACAGAAACAGGCCTTGGAGCAAGCGAAACACATTGTTTGCTTCCTCAAGTAAGTGGGGATCCCTGCAGAGCAGCTAAGAGAAATTACTGAAGAGTTGCTTGGAAAACTCCAGTGCACACGCAAAGCAGGCCTCGTTTTTGGTTGGCTCAGAGTCGCTCGGCTATTGCAAAAGGGGCTTCTGAAAGCGGAATCGCACGTTGCTTTGTAATCTGGCTGCCGCGTGTTGGCAAATTCTTTTTTTAAAAGCCAAATATAAAATAACATTTTAAAAAATTCAGCCTATTGCACCTGGTAGGTCTTTCTTTCCAGGACAGGCAACACTATGCTATTTGTTGTCTGTACGGGATGACTATTTAAAAAAACAATTGCAAATAGTTTTTGAGGATCTGTGCTTGATCAAAAGTGGCAGGACATGTCAGTTGTTGTTGTCTATGTTTCCCATGATGGTTGGCTTGAGCTATTGCTCTTCAGTTAGACCAGCTGTGCTGGGGGTGGGTGGAAGAGCAGGATTCACATGAAGATTAAAACACGGACGTTTTGTGCAAATACAGTACAGGATACAATCCCTCCCCCCTTCAACGATTCAAGTTCATCGGGCTGTGTTGTGTTTTTCTTAAAATGGCCGTTCGCAATAAAAAAACGCGCTTGTGAAATGCAGTTCGAAGACAGCGCAAGATTGTGTTGCTGGTGACGCCTGTCAATCGGTGTCACGCGCGCGTTTCCTGTGCTCGAGGTCACTGGCGGATTGTTGTCCTCCAAAATGGGTCGTAAAAGCGGCCGTGTGTCTCTTGACTCTCCGCTCACTTCCGTTTGATTGGTTGGATTTCGGTCCGAGCATTTGGTTGAGCACGGATCGTTCACCACGTGTGCAGCTCCTCGGTCGTTCACACTCGTGATGACCACCACCACCAGTAACCCTGTTCATGGGCATCGGCTCGCAGCCTTTGTTCGTTTGGTGGTGCCAGTGCGAGATAGGTATTTGACCACGTATAATTGAGACCACGGGGAAAGAATACTATACATTATTTGAACCACGGGGGTACGAAACATGGTATCGCAATATGACGCCGCCCGGCAAACACCCTCCTTGCCCGGTTACGGTTAGCATTACAAACTAAACTACCACCAATATAATTTTCTGACCCCGGGGTCAGGACTCTACGTGTGTCAACGTCGTATCTTGGACCAGTACATCTGCACATTGGACATATACCCTGCTAGTCCTCCTTGATTCAATGTCTAGTTCAGCTCTGTGATTGTTGAGCATTTTGTCGGTCTCTGGAAGCCTAAGAATCCGCTTCTGTAAAGCGCGCGAGTCAATTGCAGCCAGACGTTACAATTCACGGAGTAATTATTCCGAGTATTTTCACGAGGGCGACTGTAATTGTGTCATTACAGAGTGTGGACTAATTGGTAATGGGCAATGCAATTGCGATTATGCAGGCTTTCTTTGCGTTTGGGAATGGCCGTTCTGTAATTATGTGCATTGCAGCAATTATGCATCTCATACTTAATGTTGGATGTAAATGCTTTCTCGCCCTGCCATAGGTCACGCTCTCGTTAAGCCACTATGACTATTTTGGTTACGCTGGAGTGTAGAATTAAAATCTTAAAGAGCATTTTGAATAACCCGATTATTAATAACAACGAGCCGTTGTGTAATTTCCATGACCGTGTTTTTGCGATTGGCTGCGTTACGCCGTGTAGCGGGCCTCGGCACGACACTGGCCGTGTGCCAGAGGTCGCAACCGGGTACCCGATACCCGTACCCTACCCGGCTACCCGTACCCGGCCGGGTACGGGTACCCGTTTGCAGCCCTGGTGCGGCCGGGTACGGGTACGGGTATGCCATGAGTAACTGGTGAGTAACCGTTTGTCACTCATTTCCCAACGGCTTGTCTCTTCTCACAATTCAAGTTCCTAAAATCAACCCACCCGCGCCTGCAACATGGCTTCATCCCAGAGGTTGCAATCAGGTACCCGATACCCGTACCCTACCCGTACCCAGTCAGGTACTGGTAGGGTACGAGTACGGCCAGGTACGGGTACCCGTTTGCGACCCTGGTGCGGCCGGGTACGGGTACGGAATCAAAACCCGTTTGCGACCTCTGCCGTGTGCCTTCCGAGTGTAACGCACCCAACTTGCAATCTCGCTTGCCACCACAATTCGCATTCTAGAAGAATCACGCCACTTGCTCTCTGGTGCACCCAGTTCTCTTCTCGCCTTTCGTGGATCAGTAAGTGTAATCCATCGGTAATGTTTCCATAACAAACTCGTGATATTTTTTTGTAATTAATATTTTATTTTCATGTAAGTGTCCGTAAAGGTATCATCTATCAATATTATTGGTTCTTTCGGTAAAGTCACGTATAAGGGAAGGATTTTACCGAAAGAACCAAGAATATGAATCCCTGCAGTCACGAAAGCTTTAAATCAAGATGTATCATCTATCGTTAAAGAATCAAAAATGGACGGCAAGTTTGAACTGCATCCCAGATATCTTTTTAGCATTCCTGACATACTTTACTTTTGTAAACCGACGTGTATTCGTGAGCGAAGCATTTATAATAATCGTGCCAGAGATGTCGGGACGCTAGAATCTTGATATGACGTCCGTTGCCAATACCACAGCAGATGCGTGGAGGTTTAAAGGGATGAAACGCGTACGATTAAACCTTCTTGCTACAAGCGTGTGTGTGTGTGTCATGGATCAGCAACACGGGCTTCGGGCAGAGGTCGCAAACGGGTTTTGATTCCTTACCCGTACCCGGCCGCACCAGGGTCTCAAATGGGTACCCGTACCCGTACCCGGCTGGGTACGGGTAGCCATTCCCTACCCGTACCCTACCCGAAATGAGTGACAAACGGTTACTCACTAGCGACTCACGGCTTACCCGTACCGTACCCGGCCGCACCAGGGTCGCAAACGGCTACCCGTACCCGTACCCAGCTGGGTACGGGTAGCCGGGTATCGGGTAGGGTACGGGTATCGGGTACCCGGTTGCGACCTCTGGTGTGTG